GGTTCATTGTCTAGCTGTAATTTGATAGACAGACAACACGGGTAAAGACAGACAGCTGTTTATTTGTCGAGCAAAGACCATAATGCAAGCAAAAGGAAAATGGCCCCCCCTCAAGGGTGAGGCGATCTTTTATACTTATTACAATAAGGCAAGACTTACAGGGTTAACAAAAAAGCAATATTTGGGCGGTGCTTTACAAACCTTTGTAACAGCATATTTCTATTAAGCTGAACTAGCACTTTTTTAAAAGCTAAAAGTTAAGTAACAGTAACATTATAATATGTTGGCAAAACCTTACACAGTAGTAGATACTTCTCAAGGACACAACCACTGCACCCAGAACAATGGCTTCCCTGTCTTATCTTACTTCTTGCTGTAGCTGATTTTTCAGCACACAGACACAGATCCACTTTTTAACTCAGAAAATGCTTAATACAGTTAAAATGATTACTTGACACAAGCAAAGGCTTAGCTATCATTCTGCCTTGTGGTCAGCTGCATTGCTAGGCCACAGGTCATGCCTTGTATTCAGCTGTAAAGCTAATACTTCTTAATAATCCAAATTATTGTTAACCTAACAGTATGCTATCAGAAAACTATTCTATTTCAGGGTAATAACAAACATGCTCACCACATCCTCCTTCCTCTTCTTAAAGATGGGCCTTCTCCAGTCAGCTGGGACCTCACCTGGCCTCCATGAGCCCTGAAAGGGGATAGCCACTGCCTCTGAAATCCCCTTAGCAGGTTCCTCCAATTCCCTACGGTACATCCCATCTGGCCCTGCTGACCTGAGAGCATCCAGCTTCTCTATGGAGTCCCTAGCCTGTCCCAGAGGAGGAGAGGGTGATGGGCCAAGCCAGGCCCAAAGTGGGAGGTGAATTGTGGGGAGTGAGAGGAGTATGGGGGTGGGCAAAGGCTTGACCCCATGGTGAAGGTGAAAGGGGCTCAGAGGGAGCTGGGGAAGGGGCAGAGCTGGGGGTGCCTGAGGGGCAGAGGAAGCCTCAGCATGTGGAAGGGGCTGGGGTCCCCCTTGCCCTGTTGGGGAGCATAGGTACAGGGGCCATGCCTGGAAAGGCAGTCTCAATTGAGGGCAGCACCTCAGGCCCTGAAATAGGAAGGGAGTGAGGAGCTGGGAGGAACCCAGGCGTCCTGGCTCCCAAACACGCCAGACTCCCCTACCTCCCCAGTGCTGAGAGAGCCTAGGTGTCCTGGGCCTGGCCAGCTGCAGGGTGGGGAACCCAGGTGGGGCTAGGTAGTGGGGGCTGGGATGTGTTGCCCCCCCAACCTGGGATCCCACTCACCCTGCCCCCACCTTGGGCTGCTCCTTGCCCTGCCTCCCAGGCTGCAGCACTGTTATCAGATGGTGCCAGGCGGGGCTGAGTCAATAACCCCGCTATCAGCTGTCCCGTGGTGCCCTCTGCGGGTGAAAGTCCAGGAGGGAGACAGCTGCACTGCACAGCCCCAGGGACTGGTCTAAGCCTGTTACCAGCATGGACATACTGGAGACGGATGCCCACCACCGCAGGAAGCTCGCTGCTGAGGTAGGCATCATGGAGAGAGGGGGAGTGCAGGTGGAACCCAGGTGTCCAGGCTCCCAGCCCCTGGCTCTGACCACCCAGATCCCACTCCCCTCCCAGAGGAGGGATAGAGCCCAGCCCCTCCCCACCTCTAACCATATTTGTGCTGACTCAGGCCTCCTATCCTCAAGTAACCTTTCTTCTACTCCCATATCTTTCATCTATGCAGAGCAGACATAGCCAAGACCCCTTTCATAGCTTCCCAGTCCAGTGCTTGCATATTTGGGTTGGGTTCAAATCTATGCCTTCATGGTGACATCAGTACCTAAGTGGTGGCTGAATGTGGGTATCAGTAGGTTCCCGAGTTAACACCACATCACCATGGATATGGGGCTGACTTACAGCGCCACAAAGGGTGTTTTGCCCAAGGAAGCTGGAGCTGGCCCTGGCTGGCTGGTCCGCATCTCTGCCTCTGTGTTACTTGGGTCTCAAGGTTGTTGGGAGTTCAAACTACATGGGAGGAGCTCAGCAGGTGAGATCAGAGCTCAGGCCTACCTGACTCATGCCCTGGTGCTGAAAGGGTTAGTAAGGATGAGGCTTACAAGGAGCTTTCGCTTGGTTTTGTGGGAAGGGCACCCAGCAGGACTGGGGGCCAAGTCAGGAGCCTGGACAGGACCCTTCCAGATGCCAGGAACCTTATGGCTGTACTAGTGTAGACAGGCCCTGGTGAGGCTGGTCCCACAACCCTGCTTTCTGTCTCTCTGCCAGGCCAGGGGCCGCACTGTGCGGCTGCTCCCATTCCTGGTGTCCTGTGCGCTCTACTTTGGGCTGTGGCTGCCAGAGCCGAGCTGGCCCAGTGCTGTGACCAAGATCCTGCCAGTCCTGAGCCTGGTGCTGTTCATTTGGAGTGAAAGTAATGGGTCCTGGACGCCCTATGCCCAGGGCATCTTCTGGGGGCTGCTGTGCTCCTGTGCTGGTGACATCTGCCTGGTCTGGCCTGACCTCTTCCTGCCAGGTATAGGGCTGGGAAGAAGCAAAGCCCAGGCCACAGGGAGTGGGGTGCTGTGAGTTGGGAGTGAGGGGCTGGGGGGGCAGAGGGCTGCATATGAGGGGCACTGGCTGGGCTGGGATGGTGTGAGAAGGGCAGGGGGCTTCAGGTCAGGAGTGAGGACAGGGGGACTGTGGATTGGGAGTGATGGGCACTGGCCAGTTGAGGCGGGGCAGGGGCTGCAGGTCAGTAGTGAAGGGCAGTGACTGGGCCGGGCCAGGGACCATGGGGACCAATGAGGGTCACTATGACAGCTGTCACACTTACTCTCCCTGCAGGTGCAGGTGCCTTTGCCATTGCCCACCTCTGCTATCTGTGGGCACTGGGGCTGCGTCCTGTCCGCCCTGTTGCCTTCGTGTTGACGGCTGTGGTCTGGACCGCAACCTTGGTCTGCCTGAAGCCCTGCCTGGATAGCCCAGTGCTAGGTTGTGCAGGGATCTACTCCGCCCTGCTCTTGGCCGCAGCCTGCAGGTCTCTGTCCCGTCTGCCTTCGCCTCACTGGAGCCCGTGGCTCATGGCCTGCGGCTTCCTCCTCTTTGCCACCTCTGATGCCATCCTGGTCTTTGACCGCTTCTGTTTGCTGCTCCCCTGGGCCCGGTTTGTGGTCATGGTCACATACTACATGGCTCAGAGCCTCATTGCAGCCTCTGTGGTGGGGGAGGCCATCCACTGGAAGGACATCTGAGGCTGGGGTCGCTCCCATGACCTATGAACCCACACAGGATGTTGGTGACCTCTCACCAAGCGTTGACTTGGAAGTTATCTGGTTGAACTTTGACCAAGCTCTGTCCACTGACACCCATGGCCCCCAAGAAAATCAACAGAATTGTGGGTTAACCCAGAAATTATTCCATTGGCCTTTACCCACACCCCAACCCAAGCACCGCCAACCCAACAGGATGCTGTTCACCTTTGACCCCTGTGATTCCCTCCTACCCCAAGAGAGCCAACAGAGTTGCAAGTTGACCTGCAATTGATTCCCATGACCTAGGATTGACCCTATGCCAAAGCTGAGCCAATTGGGAGAGTCATTGGTTGACCCTTAGAACAGCTGACCTGGAAGTTATTCAGTTGACCTTTGACACCCCCCCCCATGCACTGTTCACTTTTGTCCTCCATGGCTGCCAAGAGAACCAACATAGTCATGGGTTGACCTGGAAGATATTCCCGTGACCCAGGACTCTGTCTCCATGCTGACAATGAGCCAATTGGGAGGGTCACTGGTTGACATTTGACCTTCAAATCAGCTGGAAGTGATGCTGGTGAACTGTCACCTGACGTGGCCAAGGTCAGGGGTCAGACCCTCACCACCTTTGTCAAGAGGATGCCACAGTGTCCAAGCCATGACCTGGAAGCAGTTTCTTTGATGTTTGACTCTGCTCCAACAGCCCCAATAACACCTGGTTGTGGAACAACTTCTGGCCTGTGAGTGGTTCTCTTAACCTGTGTGAGCAGATACATAGGCAAACCCAGGGACCGACCATGGCACCCCTACCTCCTCCCTGAGCTAGGATAGAACCAGGCATCCTGGCTCCCAGCACCCCATGTTTAACTCCCCAGACTACACTCCCCTACCAGAGCAAGGCTGGAACCCAGGTGTCCAGGCTCCCCACCCAGAGCAGGGCTAGACCTTGGCAGTCTGGGCTCCAACCACTCCCTGCTCTCATACACCCACCCCTACCCAGGAGGGTGGGTTGGCACTGCAGGGAGCAGAGACTGGGTCCATGCTTTTGGGACACCTTGGTATGTGTTGGGTATGTGATGTAGGTGTCTGAGCATGTCACTGCCAGGCCAGAGGTGTCTGGGGAAGGCAGGGGGGCATCTTCTCCCAGAGGGTCTGGAGAGTGTTCAGCTCCACCTTTACCCCAAAACTAGTCCTCTGACAAGAAATTAGGGGTGCCCCACAGATAAAGCAGGAGGTCAGTGATATCACAATAACCCTATCAGACCCCCAGCCTCTCCATGGGATGGCCCCAGAAACCAGCACTTTCTTAAGACTCATGACCCCTCCATCCAAGGTCCTCACACAAGACAGGAGCCTAAAGGCCTGGTCTTCAAGAGGCCAGCGTGGAAGGGTGCTTAGCCTAGGAGCTCTTGGAGTGGGAGGAAAGTGGGGGGAGGAGGTTAGAGAGAGGGGTGGGGAGTGAGGGCAGTGAGAGGACAGCAGACCTGGGTTCTCTCCCAGTTTTGGTGGGGGCAGTGGGGTCTGGGAGGTTGGAACAGAGAGGGCTGGGAGCCAGGACACCTAGGTTCTCTCCCAGCTCTGGGTAGCATTGCAGTCTTGTGGGGTTAAAGCAGAGGGAGGCTGGGAACCAGGACTCCTGGGTTCTTAGTTTCAGCCCAGAAATCTTCTAAGTGTCCACAGGAGGGAGCTGTGAGCCAAAGAATGCAGAGCCCAGCTGCATGGCAGGTAGGGTAGTCTCTGCCCCTGCCTCTGTTAGTCTCTAAGGTGCAAATCTACCTGACTTCAAACTCCCAGGGCTAATGACAACCTCTCTCTGCCCCTGCCTCTACCAGCCAGAGGACCTGGCAGCCAGGACACCTAGGCTCCACCCCAGCTCTGCTGTTGCCTCTGTAATGTGTCTGGGTTTTCCCCTATTCCCAGCGCTCCTGCTCCACAGCCCCCCGCAGTGCCCTTCTGCTGGGGGATGGGGCAATGCTGCTTCCTCAGAGCTCCCCAGCTGGCAGAGGTGAGGGTCACAGACTTCCCCCCTCTCCTGGCTCCCCTGCCCGCACACTGCTCGTCCTGTCACCCACAGGTTCCCAGGCAAAGCAGCAGATCCAAGACTGGCTGCAGCCTGGGCCGACCCCTGACTCTGAAAATGTTTCCCAGCCCCTGAGACCTGCTCTCCAAGGGAATTCAGTTCTTCTGAGCCAGGGATGGGGATTTCCCTCTATGGGACCAAAGGCCATTGCAAATACCAGGAGATCCTCACACACCAGGCCCCAGGCACGGTGCTGGTGTTGTCCCTAGAAGGGGCTGTGACGGAGTGAGGGGCAGCAGCAGAGCTTAAATACAGCTCAGGTGTCTGGGCTCCCCGCCCCCTTTTTTTTAACCCACCAAACTTCACTTAACTGCCAGAGCCGGGAGAGAACCCAGGCATCCTGGCTTACAGCCCCCACCCCACTCCCAGGGAAAGAACCCAGGAGTCCTGGCTCCTAACCCCTGCCCCCACTGCAACCCACCAAACCCCACTGTCTTCCCAGGGCTGGGAGAGAACCCAGGCATCCGGGTTCCCAGGTAAGACCAGGCCTCCCCCAGCAGGGTGCCCCCCATCTCCCAGCCTGTTGATTCATGGCCCCTGATCGATAAGGAGGCAGCCAGTAGATTGCTCCATTGCCTGGGCAACCGAGTTTGGATGCCCAGCGTTGCTATGACTCTGGTGATTTCCTAGCCTGTTCCCATGGCACCAGGCTTCCAGGGATGGCAGTCAGAGCACTGGGCTGAAGGGGGAGAGAGAGAGAGAGGGGATCCAAGGTGGGGGCGGTGGGGTCAGAGCAGAGAGGGGAGCTGGGAACCTGGACACCTGGGTTCTATCCCAGGTCTGGGAGGGGAGTAGAGTCCAATGGTTAGAGCATCAGGGGCTGGGAGCCAGGACGCCTGGGTTCTCGCCCAGCTGTGGGAAGGGACTGGGTCTGATGGGTCAGAGCAGTAGGGGCTGCGACCTGGGACACTTGCGTTCTAGCCCAACTCAGAGAAAAGAGTAGGTCATGGGATAAGGGGGGCAAAAGCCTGGAAGCCTGGGTTCTCTCCCATCTGTGGGAAGGGAATGGGGGGGCTTGGTGGGTCAATGCAGGGCGTGGGGGCTGGGAACCCGGATGCCTGGGTTTTCTCCTAGCTCCTTGAAGGGCATTGAGGAGGGGGAGTTTGGTGGGTCAGCTGTGGGGGCGGGCGGGGGGCTGGGAGCCCCGACTCCTGGGTTCCCGAT